AGTGCAATGGAATTGTAATATCCTATGACATTTTCATTTCTTCAAGTTCATTTCTGAATCATAACTTTTCTGATACCTGGGCATTTGGAAGGTAGCAGAAAATAGAGATAGAGCTTAAAGCTGGAAATAGTGGAAGCTGGAGCTAGGGGCTTAATACAAATGAAATCTCTGATTAAACCAAGTGTCTAAAGATTCCCTTAAGTATGTAGCTCATCTTCATGACATTACTGTCTAGGAGCTCTTGTCTCTGATTCAGCCAGGGCACATGCTGATCTACACTGATAAGTCGCTTAGTAGCCGCAAGAATGGAAGACTGATTTTTCTTTTTTACAACTATAAATCTAAAAAATTCCCAAACAATGGGAAACCCATTTTCTTTTTTCTTGTTATTTTGCTTGTTTGATACATGGCCTCACAGCTGGACCAGACTGGAACCCTTGGTGGTCCGGCCTTCTAGCCTCTTGTGCAGGCTGAAGGCATAGGCCTCCACCACCACCACCTTCTTACTGTTGTCCAACTCCCACAGTACTCAGGGTCAAGCCCTTGGATTTCTGCATGCTCGGCAAACACTCTACAACTAAGCTACACCTCTAGCTCCAAACTCATAAGATGAAAGGTGTGGCATCAAATACCTAAAATCCCAGCACTTGAGAGGCTGAGGCAAGAGGGTCAAGGTCAATTTGAGCTACATAGTTAGCTCCAGCCAACCTAGGCTATGTAGGGAAGGCCCGAAGACCACTAAAACCAAAAGAAACTATTACTACATTTGTATTATGGGAATTTTTATTCTCTTGGGGGAATGTCAACTTGTCAACTAGTTTGTGTATGACCTGGTCCTCCTGCTTTCGAACCTCTGAGTACTGAGACCACAGGGATGTATCACATACCCAGGAATTTTATGCTTTTTTCAGGTGGATGTTCTGGAATTATTTGCTATTGATTTATATGTAACTGTCTATTCTTTTTTTAAAGTAATAGGGTCTGGTTCCCAGAACATGTGTTTTTTGGTAGAGTAATTAATTGCCTTCTGATGTGGTAGCTAAGAATAGATTTTGAAACTTGGGGAATATTCTATTTCCCCTGTGATAATAAACCAGGAAGTTTTAATCACTACAAGTGATTAAGGATGAGCTGATGTAGTGATTCAGGCTTGTAATCCCATGTTGTGTAACTTTTCCTGGGGAGATGTGAACAAGGTCCATTTACCCAAGATAAGGCACCAACAATAGACCAGACATCTAGGTCAGTGAACCAACATTATTGGGGTTATTTGTTTATTGGGAGTACAGGTGAATAGTTACTTATAGGAGCATGGATAACTCAAATGTCACTGAAAAGCCCACCCCAGCAGAGGTGACGAAAGCTGTTTCATTGGAGTGCTCTGCACAATTTGTAGACAGTGTCACTGGTCAGAATCTCTTCTCCAGCGACTGCTATTGCTTATATAACGGTAGGAGGGGACTTATGAATCTTATGAGTTTCAGGAGCTTCCTGAGCCTTGGATATTTCATTTACTTCCTGAGTCACAGTCTTCCTCCTTCCTTCAAGACTGAATCTCCTACAATTAAAAGGAAATAGCTACATAACGTCTTGGTCTTGGGAGGCTGAAACAGAAATATTACTGTGAATTTAAGCATGCTATATAGTGAGTTCAAGGCCACAATGGAGTGTAGTTTGAGACTCTGACTCTTAGAAAGAGAGAAAGAGAAGAAGGGAGGGAGGGAGGAAAAAGGAAAGGGAGGGGGAGAGATTAAAGATGGAGATGGTTGGTCGTGGTATCATGCGCCTTTAATCCCAGCACTCAGGCAGTCTAGTCTCTTTGAGTTCAAGGCCAGCCTGGTTTTCACAGTGAGTTATAGCCCAGCTAGACATACATAACATAGTGAGAGAAAAGGAGATAGATGTTGATGAATCTAAGCCTGGTGGTGCAGGTTTGTAATTTCAGCTACTTAGGAGGTTGAGTCAGGGTGATTTCAAGGCCAAACCGGCCCGGCCTAAAGATCGAGTTTTCCTAAAAAGATGGCCTAAAAACACAACTCAGATATAACACACTTACCTGGTATGTATAAGGTTTGACCTTCCCTTTCCCACAGGATGGAAGAAAACAATAAAAATAAAATATGAGTTTACTTTTATTTGGGGGCTGTGACTGATACTGATTTTTCTCTTTCTTTTTTCATAGTGGATGTTGAAACTGGGGATATACACATGCCAGGCAAGTATTCTACCACTAGCCTACATCCCCTGTCCTTATGTAGGTTTTCAATAAAGAGTTGATGATTCATTTTCAGAATGTCACGGGAGACCAGCTTTTCTGAAAATGAGCCTCCTGAAGAAAACCAAGCACACTGACATATAATTCATATCCTTCTATCATTGACTTTCTAATCTCAAACCAATCTCCAGCCTTAAAAGGCACTTAAAAAAGGAAACATTGAGGACAGGCTTGTGAGGTCAAGTTCCGTAGCACTGTCTAAGAGGGGTTTTGTAACACATAGGTGGTTAGACATGACCTTTAAATGTTGTGTTCTAAGATTCTTTGATCGTTTCCTTCTCCCTTTCCCCTCCCTTCCCCTTCCTTCTTTTTGTGAGTGTGTACATGCATGCTTGTATGTACATGTGTGGTTCCTTACACAGGGCTAAAACTCCCTATGTAGCTGTTGTAGTTTCATTCTGCTGCTGTGACAAATACTATGTGGTCAAATTCCAGGAGGCCATCACTGGTTGTGTCTCTTGCTGATGTAATGGTCAAGATGTATCAGAAACCAGAAGTTAGCAAAGCCCAGTGGTTATCAGGGCAGCCAAGGAAGCAAAAGAGGCTAGGCAGACATCAAGGAAGACAGCAACGGCTGCTGCTAAGGGGTTTAGACCACCCCGTCCGTCCTCATGTAGTTCTTTCATATCCTCACAAAACCAACAACAAAATCAACTTACTGAATGCTTAACATATTCCAAGCATTGTACATTGTTTTACATCATTTCATATCTATGTAGCCCAGGATAGCCGTGAAGTTACAATCCTCCTGCTTTGACATCCCGAGTGCTGGGCTTAATCAGATCTGTGTTACCACACTCAGCTCAAACAGTGGGATTTGAAACTGAGTATTCTCAAAGACAAAACTGTTTCTTAGTTTTAATATTTTCTCACAAGTCTCTCTCATACTGAATATTGCAGATGGAGTCTTTTTAAAAGAGAGGTATTTATTTATTTATTTATTTATTTATTTATTTATTTATTTATTTATTTGTGTAATAACTATGTGTTTTTGCCTGAGCATATAAATGCATACCAGTTGAGCTGCAGGGACTGTTGGAAGCCAGAAGTGGGTATTGGATGTCCTGGAAGTGAAATTACAGGCTCTTGAGATGCCTGATATAGTTCAAGAGCAGTTAGTGCTCTTAACTGCTGAACCGTCTCTCTAGAGCTAAGAAATAATTTCTAGGGGTTGGGAATGGAGCTCGGTTGGTAGAGTGCTTCTCTAGTATGCACAAAGCCCTGGGTTCAATCCCCAGCACCACATAAAAAACCAGGCACTAGTCATGATGGCATACATCTGTAATTTCAGAGGCAAAGACAAGAGTAGCAGAAGTTCAGGGTCACCCCTTGGCTACACAGAGAACTTGAGGCCACCCTACCCTACACAATACCCTGTACCACCATTACCAAACAAACAAACAAAACCAGCATAGAAACGTACATTTAAAGCTTCTGCCAAGGGAAAAAAAAAAAAAAAAAAAAAAGTAGCCAAGACTCATAGCTCCTTCCTACCTGCCTAGAAGTGCGCTGCATGAATTCATTCCCTTAATTTTACAACTGCCCTCAGGGATGGGAGCTATGATTACCTTCAGTATGTAGATGAAGACATGAGCCTCAGTGGGGATAACTTTCCCAAGGTCACAAAACTACATACGATACCAGGAAAAAAAAATGGTGTTTAAAATTTGTTTATTGTTTTGTATAAAGTGTGTATACAGCTGCCTTTCCTACAGTGCCCTTGTGGAGGTCAGAGGACAACGTTGTGGACTCAATTCTCACTTGCCACATTTATGTAGTTCCCAGGAATGAATTCAGACTTGTACAGCAAGCACCTTTCGCCATTTACTGGCTCTCCCTTTAGGATCTTTTAACCACTTTTTTTTTTCCTAACAAGAAAAATATCCTCATGTTTCTAATACCGGAAGGGCAGAACGGCTTACACTTCTTATTTCTTCAGCGATCGTGTCCCCTGCTTCACCACCCCCTCATAATTGAACTTTTTGTGATAATAGCACATAAATAAACAAAGGGAAGACCCCTTCACCCCCTGATGCTATCCTTGGTTTGGCCTAAAAGTACTTGCCATCTTTGCAATCCATCTTCCTCATTAGATTTCATATGGAGAGTATACACAGCTCACCAATGCGTGAGGTGTTTATTTTCACGAGGTTCTAAAGGATCTTCCTTATTTCCGTGTCTTGAATTTTCCTCTATTATCTGAAGTCTTTCTATTCCTGGAACGCCCCCCCCCCCCCCCACACACACACACTAAAATTTCTCACTTGCATCCCATAGTTTTGTGTGACAAAATTATTCCCGCCATCCAGGCCATCACCTTGACCTTGAACTATGAACAAGTTTGGGGTAGGACGAAACCCTTGGCTTGTCCACTTCAAGCCCTAGTTGAACAGAAAGGAGAGTCCAGAAAGTGCCAGGGGGCTCTTTGAGTGTATTTGTCAGCATCTGCCTGCCCATCTACTCCATTTGATTTGCCTGAATTTTTATCCAAAACCTAGTGTTAGGCCCTCTGAAGAATCCATGTTGGTAGCAATTGCATTCCCCCATCTCGGGGCTTCTGAATATTCATGTGGGAAGCAGAGGGCCAGTATCAAAGAAGGGAGAACGGCAATTCATAAATATTAATAAAGGCAGGTCCACGTGCTCCAAGGAAAGCTATGAATGTTCACGAAAGGATGACGTTCAGGCTCTGGGCGCGCCCGTTGGGCGGGTTCCCGAGTGCGGGCGCGCCTCCGGGAGCCCGGGCACGAGCGCAGGGACCGGGCGCCACCGGAGCTGCCGGGGAGCGGGAGCGCTTGCTGGCTGGCTTGCCGGCTGCCGTGCTGAGCCGGGCCACCACTAGCCGGTGGATGGGGATGTCCCGCTGAGCCCCAGAATCCGCTTCCCTCCTCCAGGACCTGCACAGGTGCGGAGGGGGGTGGGAGCCGACCTTCGTCTGGACTAGCCCCGGTGCTGGAGCCGGGGACTCGAATTCGGGTGGCGAGGGAGGCCGGACGACTCGAGATTCTCTCATAGGACTCCTTGGGGTATGGGCGACTCTCATCCCCACTGGATTCCATCCTCCGCTGAGGCCGTGGCACTGGTCGTGCCCAGTCTTGAGGGAGCCCGGAGTGAGATTCTCCGCACTGGTAGCATCATCTCGGAGCAGTGTGTGTGTTCGCGTGCGTGTGTGTGTGCTTGTGAGCTTGTGTGTGTGTGTGTGTGTGTGTGTGTGTGTGTGTGTGTGTGTCACACTGTCGGGAAACCCTGCTTGATAGTGCTGGAGCAATGTGGACCCCATATATCATTTCAGGACCGTTATCTCGGGCTTCTCAAAATCATCTTTGTCTCCAAGAATCTGACCCTGCAGTCTCCTAGTGCCCCTCCGCGGGATGTGGAGCCTTCCCCGCATATTCTCGCTGTCAGAACCTCCGGCTGCAGTCCTGGGGGAGCGATTGTTTTACTACACAGAGCAGGTCGGAGAAAGGACGAGTGTGGCGGGGAGGAGAGGTGTGTTCAGAGCCGGTTGTGGTCCTCGGGGCCCGAGGCTCTGCAGACTGGGGGCTCAGCTGGAGGGGTGTTATACAATCCGCTCTTCTGCCTTCTTGCCTCTCCCTTCGCATCCCGTCTCCCGGCACGGCTCACCATTTCGGCGTCCAGGTCTCGTTTGGCAAAGGGAAGACAGTGGAGTATGTGCAGGGGCTGCGTGGGATGAGCTGGGCTTCCTCAGAGCGCCAGCCATTGTGCTGCCTAGAAGAGCCTTTCTTTACTCTGACAGAAGAGGGAGAGGGGGGTCTGAAATGGAGGTGAATGGAGCCGAAGAGAAGGGGGGAGGGTGCAGAGTCCGGTGAAGGGGTTGCTGAGCCATGGCAAATGAGTATTTATTCTCTCTGGCAAAATGGATAGCTTACGCTAGCCAGGTTTTGCCAAGGAGCCGTGGGGGTCTGGAAGTGGGTAACAGAGGACATTTTAGTGATCTGTATGGGGAGGGGAAGCACAGAGGCAACTGGGTCTACACAGCAAGTGATGGAAAGAATAGGGAGATAGAATGGGCATGTGTGGAGGTGCAAAGAGGCCCAGCAGGAGAGGCACGGTGAAATCCACCATTCCCTCGGCTCCGTGAAGCAGGCACTGTACCGCAGACCCAGGCTGCAGCTTCTCTACCGTTAGGCTGCAGGGAGAGACTTAGACGTTTCTGTTGAGGGCTTTCTCTGTGTGTGCGTGTTTCTCTTCCGGATTACACCACGTATTTGGAGTCGGGATAAATGAACTAGATTGTATGCAACGCTTGAACTATAGTCCTGTACTATGTTCTATAATAAAAAGAAAAAGACAACTTTCCCATGATTCCCTCTCTGCCACTTTCACGTATTTATTTATTTTGGAAGCACAAAGAAGGTCTACGCCTTATGTTAACATCAACTGTGTGTGTGTGTGGTGTTGAAGACAGAACCCCAGATGTCACACATGCTCAGCGGCAGAGTTGCTCCTCCAGCTTTAAGGGAGGAGGACTTGGGAAGAAGCTGAGGCCGAGGGCACGGCAGCTTGCCAGGATGGAAGGATGCAGGGTTACCTCAGACATTTCAGTTGGGAAATAAAGGCACCTACCTAGAGGAGTACAAAAGAGGATGGGTTAGAGAAGGAAGGTAGGTAGGCCCCCCCCCCAAAGGGATGTGCTAACCCCTTCTTGAGGTTTGACTGTCATTTACTGTGCCACAGCCTGAGATGCTCCATTCACGCCGGGTACTGTGTTAATACAGATTTCCAAAGTGTGCTCTCAGTTTTAGCATCATCTGTCTGATAGTTCACAGAGTGTGTCGTGGCTCCTGGGTAGTGAGTTGATGAGCACCGGTCAGGTTATATTACGGATTGTTTCAACTAACCATGTTTCTCAACTCTAAACCTTGATATTCATGTCTTCGATAATCTTTGGAAAAGGTTTTATCTGATTTAAGAAAAATAGCTGTGTGTATGTGATGTGTGTGTGAATGAAGACATGAGTGTGACACACAGCACAGTTTGGAGGCCAAAGGTCAGCTATGAGGATTTCCACTGTGGGATCCAGGTATCAGGTTGTCAGGTTTGCAGGACAAGCACTTTTAACCTACAGGGGCATCTAGATGCCCGCTTCTTCTTATAATTTTATAGATGAATGTTTATTCTCCAGGGTTTATCTCAGTTAAATATAGATACTTCCTTTTAAAGATTTATTTTGATTGTTTTTAATTATGTGTATGCATCAGTTCAGGTGCCCTTGAAAGCCAGATCTTTTGGATCTCCGGGAGCTGGAGTTAGAAGCAGTTGTGAGCCATCCTATATGGGTGCTGGGAGTTGAAGTTATGTGTGCTCTTAACCCCTGAGCAGTCTTTCAGCTCCTAAGTGCTTATATCTGTTTGATCTGCTATCCAAAGCTCAGTGCATTTGTTGGCTTGTTTGAGGCAGGCTTTCATGCAGCCTCAGCTATGGTGGAACTTGTCATGTAGCCAAGGAGGACCACCAATTCCCAATCTTGCTGCCACCACCCAGTGTACATCACCACAAACAGCTTAAAATTGTCTTAGTCCTGAACTCTGGTTAGATTGGCTGTTGTTGCTGGTTGATGGATTCAGCACTCCTGCTGGCCTCACCTTATGCTAGAGTCTCTGTCACCCCCAGAGAGAAATACACATTTCAAGGAAGTATAAGTGTCTTTAGTTAGCTGATCAGCTCTTGGATCTCTCTGAAATGGGACCTGTGATCCTGGAAAATTTGACCAAATGAGTTTTTTAAAGCTCCGATGAAAAAGATTCCCAAATCCTTCCAGCATTTCCCCCCTCATTTGATACACATTTTGAAGCAGCATACCCTGAGCATAATGGCAGGGATATTTTTTCTTTTGTTTGAAACATGCTTATCCACATTTTGTTTGTTTGTTGTTGTTGTTGTTTGTTTCTTGGTTTGTTTGAGATAATGTCTCACTCTGCAACCTTGGCTGGCCTAGAACTCACCATGTAGATCAGGCTGGTCTTGAATTCACAGGGATCTGCCTGCCTCTGCCTCCTGACTGCTTGGATTAAAGCTGTGAACCACCATTCCTGGCCACACCCATCTAAGCAATATATCCTGACTTTCTAAGGAAAGCCGAATGGCCTTGAGTTGTAACTTTATTATTATTTTCAAATTTCTAGCTATATTTACTTTTCATGAATGATTATTTTTCTTACATGTTTGCATACTACTTGCATGCCTGGGGCCCTTGGAGGCCGGAAAAGGGAGTTGAATGCCCTGGAAATGGAGTTATAGAAGGTTGTGAGCTGCTGTGTGGGTGCTGGGAATCAAGTCTGGGTTCAGCAAGAACACTAAATGCTCCTAACCACTGAGCTATCTCTTCAGCCCCTACTTACTATTATTTTTAAATGTTTCACTTATGTGCTTGTGTGTGTATATGCACGGCGGTATGTGTGTGAGAAGCCTGGGAGGCCAGAAGAGAGCACCAGATTTCCTGGAACTGGAGTTACCTGCAGTTGTGAGCTGCCTGATGTGAGTGCTGAGACCCAAATTTAGGTCCTCTACAAAAGCAAGTTGCTTTTAACCACTGAGCCATCTTCAAGCCCCATAAATATTATGAAAAACCCCATTTTGTAAATAAGGAAACTAAGGCACAAAGAACAGATAATTTGCCCAAATTCTTGCAGCTAAGGTGGGTCGATCAGACCAGAACAGGAAGTCAGGGATGGATATGACAGACCATAATCTCAACTGACACAGGTCTTTCTACTTTCTGTGTGTGCCTGCTCTCTCGCTCTCTCGTCAGAAATTTAAGGGCTTTATTTTGTTACACCTTTTTCTACATACTCCCAAACTTTTCCTCCCATCTTTTATTTTATGTGTGGGTGTTTTCCTGCATGTACGTATGTTCACCATGTTCATGAAATGTCCAGGAAGGCCAGAAGAGGGTGTTGGATCCCTTGGGACTGAAGTTAACAGATTGTTGTGAACAGCTTTGTGGGTTCTGGGAATCAAATCAGGGGCTCTTAACCACCCAAGCTATCTCTCCAGCATCTCTACTCCCAAACTTTTAAGTTGTTATTTCTTGGAGATGTCTGGCACTCTCCTTTATGAAGCTGGACAACTCTGATACCATTGTTTATGTGATTTATTTTAAACTGATTGTGACTTTTAAAAAAATTATTATTATTTGTTTTACATCCCAGTTCATAGCCGCATCCCTCCTCTCCTCCTGTTCCCACCCTTCCTCCCTATTTCTCCTACTCCCCTTCCTCTATTCTTCAGAGAAGAGGACCCCTCCCCCATCCACCCCAGCATATCAAGTCTCATCAGGACTGAGCGCATCCTCTTCCCCTGTGGTCTGGTCAGGCAGCCGCACAAAGGGAAAGTGATGGAAAAGCAGGCAACAAAGTCCATGTCAGAGGCAGCACACCCCCCTCCCAGCTCCCCTTACTAGGAAACCCATAAGAGGACCAACCTGCCCATTGGCTACATAGGGGGCCTGGATCCAATCTATGGATGGTTCTGGGTTGGTGCTTCAGTCTCCACAGGCCCCCTGGACTCTAGTTATTTGGTTCTGTTGATCTTCTTGTGGAGCTCCAGTCTCCTCTCGGTCCTTCTATCCTTCCCCTCACTCTTCCACAAGACTCCCTGCACTCTACCCAATATTTGGCTCTGGGTCTCTGCATCTGTTTTTATCAGCTGCTGTGTGAAGCCATTCAGAGGACAGGTATGCTAGGCTCCTGTCTGCAAGCATAACAGAGTATTGTCAATCGTGTTAGGGGTTGGCTGTTTCCCGTTGGGTGGGTTTCAGGCCACATTTTTCTTAAATTTTTGTTTTGTTTTTAAATGTCTTTACTAAATACCATCACTGCCCCAGTGGCTTGTTCTTAGTTTATTGGTGTACACAATGTCTTCATCCTTTGAATTTTCTGGACC